TCAAAATGCAAGTTTACCTCCTGACCCTAAAACAAAAAAATAAATACGTGTTTTTAATTATAGAATTGATAGAAATATAATTTATTGTTTATTGTCCAACAATGGTGAAATTTCTGTGCAACAGCAAAGTGTCAGGCAATAACAGCAAATAGATTCATACAAAGAAAAAAACGGAAAGAAATTCAACATAAAATACCATGCAGGTATAAAAAATACTTCAGTCCAGGAGAATTTGAAACTGAGTTGATTTGTTGATTTATGAGGCATAAAGTTTTTTAAGCATTTATAATTCAGAGGCAACAGTTTTCTCTTTATCCCGGCATGATAGAATCAAATGAAAACTAATTTCTCTTGCTGCTGACAGTCAGCACGCTGGACTGCTGCTACCTACTGGCGGAGAGCAGACACTGCAACTTTATAAAGTAATTTAAACCAAGTTTCACTGAAGGACAAAGGTTGTCAGGAGGATACTTCAATTTGAGTCCAATCTATGCTGCAAAAAAAAAAAAAAAAAAAAACCCTGTTAACAAGTTGGACCAAATGATCGAGATGCAGATACCGTCATATATTTATTTCAGATTGGGACAAATCTGAGACACAAAGCAAATAACAGATCAGTTAACAGAAATCTCACCTTTTAGCTTATTATCTAAAATCATCAGACTTTTATTACAAATTATTTAAATTACGTCACCCAGATATGAAATAGTCCAACTATGGTACCATTCCTTCAACTATATCCCTAATTTTCTTGGTGCTGAGGGATCAAACGTTCCTTCTGTCTCATTTCTGGCTCATGATGCCACGTGCGATCAGCTCCTTCATGATCTCATTGGTTCCTCCAAAGATGGGCTGAACCCTGGAGTCCACAAACGCCCTGAAACACACACACACACACACACACACACACACACACACACACACAAAGAGTCAGGCTGAAGCAGACATCACTCAGCCCCCCACCACTCCCAAACTGCTCCACTTACTTAGCAATGGGGTACTCCCACATGTAGCCCCAGCCTCCATGGAGCTGCAGGCACTGGGTGGCCACCTTATTCTGGAGCTCCGACGCCCTGCAGGCGACAAGCAGACGGTCAACTGCAGGTCAGCGGCTGGTAGCCAGCTGATCGCACAGGTTTCTCACCAGAACTTGGCCATGGAGGCGGTGGTGGGGTCCAGGCGGCGCTCCGAGAGGAGCTGCAAGCAGTTATCTACAAAAACCCGACCAAAGCAGATCTCCGACTTCAGCTCCGCCAACTTGTGCTGCACCGTCTGAACATGATAGAGGACTTGCTTTTAGAAAGAACTAAAGAATTTGGAACAAAGAAAGAATCTTTGGAAGAAGGTAGACAACATTAGCATGGAAAGCCAAACTGAAGTCCTCTTCTGTATATTTGATCTACTTTAGCTGGAGCTATGTACTTTAGATTAATCACCTCATTCTCACTGTAGGATCTGTGATGCTGTGGGCCTAGTTTTATTTCAAGGTTCCAGGGAACTTTGCCAGACAGCATGGTATTGTGACTGAATATACTTGAATTCTGCAATAAAAGACTAATTTATTTAAAGGATTTTAGGAATCTTCACCAGGGGAGCCAATAATTACATTACATATCCATAAAAGTCTGGTTCATGTTCCAGGGTTTAACTGGAGGGGCAACACAACCTCTTATAGTTGAGATAGTAATTAAAAAAATTTAAAAAAATCCCGGACAAGCCCCCAAAATATTTCTATTTTCTCTTGTTGCTAAGCCCTGCCCCCTGCTGGTGTGTGTTGGGGGAATTAAACAGACCTGGAGGTGAGCGACGGTCTTCCCAAAGGCTTTCCTCTGCAGAACGTAGTTCCTGGTCTCCTCGAACATAAACTCACAGCTGGATATGGCCATGTCAGCGATCAACAGGCGCTCCTGGCAGCAAAATCCATCACTGAGGGTTAGGATTCAGGAGGACGTGTGTGTGTGTGTGTGTGTTTGTGTGTTTTCAGACCTGTGGCAGCTCATTCATCAGGTAGTAGAAACCCTTGTTGAGTTCTCCCAGCAGAGCACTGGCTGGGAGACGCACGTCCTCAAAGAACAGCTCCGCTGTGTCCTTTCAAACAGATTCAGACCAATTCAGCATCCTGAGGTTGAGACGTTTTCCAACATGAAGTAAAAACTGTGCTACCTGTGCTTTCAGGCCGATCTTCTCCAGCTTCCGGCCTTTCTGGAAGCCCTTCATGCCGTTCTCCACCAGGAACAGACTGATGCCATGGGCCGCCGTTTTCGCCTCACGGTTGGTCACCGTGACGACCACCACCACATCGGCCATCCAACCGTTGGTGATGAACACCTGAGAGGAAGGAAGCGGTTGAAGCCGATGGCGCCTTCCAGAGGAACAGCAGTGGCTTTACCTTGTTCCCGTTGAGGATCCAGTCACTGCCGTCCTTCTTGGCATATGTCCGCACTCCCTGGAGGTCGCTGCCATGGGGAAACCGACCAGTTAACACCGTGTCTCACTGGTCAATCTGTGATATAATAAAGGAAGTGGGACTGGCGTCCTCACCTGCCTGCACCCGGCTCCGTCATGGCGATGGCGCCGATGTGTTTCCCAGCAGTCATGGAGGGAATGAAGCGTTCGATCTGTTCCTTGCTGCCGTAGTTTACGATGTACGGCATGACGATGTCTGAGTGTAGAGCGAAACCCGGCCCGGTGCAGTTACTGTACATTCTGAGGACAGATGGTCAGCAGAAAAAAATTCATCTTTATTCAGCAAAATTCCAGCATTTTCAAAACTCCAACTACTCCATTCAGAGTAGGAAGTATGGACTCACTGCTCCTCCCAGGTGATAGCAGCAGAAAACGTGTCCCCTCCAATGCCACCGTGCTCCTCTGGGATCATCACTCCCAGGAGGCCTTGCTCTCCAGCCTTCTCCCACAACTCCCGGCTCACCTGACCTGCCTTTTCCCACCTGGGAGCACAAACAGGAAGTCAACGGGAGGAAAACATCTCATGCTGATGTTGGGTTCCTGCAGCCACCTACTCCTTGTGGTGTGGCACCACTTCCTCTTGGAAGAAGCGGCGGACGCTTTGCCTGAAGATGTCGTGGTCCTCATTGAAGATGCGCCGTGTCCCGATGTCCATCAGGGTTTTGGCGGTGGACGTCTCAGGTCGGATGGACGCAACCGTTGACCCCTGCTGCTGGGCCTGAGAGTACTGCTTCCTGTTCAAAGACACAGAACGGAGTCCGTTGAAAGAAAAAGTTTCCCCACAGCATGATGTTGCCACTACTACTTTTGCTTAAGGTTCAAAAAGTTTCATTTTGAAGCAGAAAAATTCTCCATATTTTCCTTTCCCCGCTTTGTGCTAACTCTTTTAAGAAAATACACTTAATTTTGTATTTGTAAACTTAGAAATAAAGTTTTAAGGCACTGATAACATCAACTGACGTCACAGCTAACTATGAACGAAGTGTGTCAAAGGTTATTGTGACCTATTTATGACACAACTGAATTAAATAGTGTTTGACACTTTTGCCACAGTGTGGCGTGAAATATGACAGCAGTAAAACACAAGATATATTTTTACGTGAAAAACTGTGATTCCCTCCCCCCCACATAGCAGATACTTTGTTTTAGGTATGCCTGGTAGTGAGTGAGAAAGGAAGTGACGTGTTTCACCTGGCAGCAGCTGCAGACAACACCTGTCCACCTCGTCCAGAGACATTTCTAAATCCAGAAAAGCCCGACTGAACAACCTTCCTTAGAAACATCTTCAAGCGACACAAACACGGAGAAGCGAGAAGAGCAGAGATCGTCTAGCTCGTTTGAAGACTGATCACTCGGTCGTTTTATGCAATTAATGCAACAGAGATGTTATTATTTTTTTATTCAATATTTTACTTAAATTAATACACGTATTTGCAGTTCACTATGAAATGAAATTAAGTACACGAACATTTCGCGTGATTTCACGTTTGTCCACAAAAAGAAGCACCAGAGTGAGTCCTCTTGTCCTTCGGTATTCCTTATGATTCTTCTTTTAGTAAAAGAAACAGGCGGATTCTTACTGCGTGCTGCCACCTAATGGTAAAAACTAAATAAACATCAATATTCCAGATATCTGCTTCTAAATTAATTAAAAATATCAAAAATAAATAATATAGATTAATACATAGATTTATGTTATATTCAACATTGTTTAAAGTGTCATCAAAAATAAATAGTTTGTTTCTTTTTTTTACTTTACAGACTGTATTTACTTCATCTTATTACCACAAGGAGGCAACTGTTTTTAACTTTAGGGATGAATTGGAGACAAAAGTGAAATATAAAATGATTCTGAGAACGAAATGTACACAAAAATTATCCGGGTATGACTGAGCCATGCTCACACGGGTCACCTTTCTGCCGTTATCAGATAGATTCAGGTTTCTGTGAACTGTGTTTGAGTCACAGGTGAGACTGCAGAAATCTGAAGGAAAGAACAAACAATTCAGCTCTGTGCATATTATTATAAAGATACTTAAAAAGGTTTAAAATGAAAGATTTTTTATGATCATAATCTCACAGATTTAGAAAAAGGAGAGAAGGTTATAGACTTTTTGAAGTCCAAATCAAGGTAAGCAGAATACGTTTGCCAATTTATTATGAAATGGATATGCAGATATGACTATACCAGAAATACTCAAATACAAGTAATTTTACCACAAGTTAAAGATTTGTGTCTTAGTTTGTCAATCCAGCCGCTGAAAATTTAAGTTCCATTCTGAAATACATTCTAATAAATACTGGAAATAAATGCGGTAGATTACACTCAAGCAAAAAATGTGAGCTCTAAAGGCTGAATGTGGAATGTGGTTTCTTGTTTTCAAACCAGGGCATATCGCTGTCCAAAACTTTATTCATTTCAGTTTATTTATACAATGACAGCTCACAATATGTCATCTCAAGGTACTTTACAAAAACAAACAAACAAACAAACAAACAAACAAACAAACAAAAAAAAAACAGAAAAAAAACCCAGTCAATCCAGTAATTTACATTCCAGCTGATCCTAGTGTCTAAGCAATGCAGCCAAGTTCAGTTCATTATTTCTGAAGTTTCTGTCTAAGGAAATCCAGGAGATTGAGGTATTCACTCCTGCTGGCCCTCCTGGTCAGGAGGAGTCAGGGAATACAATCTTATCTGCATTTTGTGGACTTAATGATAATACAGCTGTAGGCTGGTCTACTACCAGGATCAGAAGAAGGCTACTGAATGTGTAATGGTTGAATGTGAGCTGTTTTACAGTGATCCAGGATTATACCTGTCTGGATTTTGATTGGAGAATATGGGAAATATCGCCATCTTGTGCTAACATTTAGCACAGGAACCTCCCTCTGTGATAAAAAGGGAAGGGGTTTAGTAAGATTTACTAAAATTCACAGAGAAACTATTTAAAAATACTATCAAAAGTACAACTTCAGAAAAGTATTGTTTATATTTTTAAAATGCACATTTAAAATATACATTATTACAAATACATGCAGAGTATTTTTAAAAAGATTATCCAGAGTATAATTTTAGCAAGATATTTAAATAGAATTTAAAATATACTTTAGAAAAAATATTTTTAGAAAGTGTACCAAAAATAAAGACTAAATGTCACAGAAAACAAAACTTTGACAGAACATAAATAAAAAATAGCTGTAAGCTCAACTATGTTTCTTAATAAATCCAAAGAAATCCACATAAGCAAATGAATGGAATATCAGGATATTAACCAGTAAGAGAAGATCTAAAATTAATTTAAATGAGGTCAACTTTAGAGTTGGACACAAACTGACTTCCTAGTTAAAGCAAACTGGTTTATCTATTGGTTTATACCAGAACAAATGGTCTGAAAACAGAAAATATTATCTTAGAATCATGAGAATTTTCTGTGATCCTGAACAAGCCAACGACTTCAACCAGAGGGTGTAAAGAAAAAAAACCCAAAAAAACAATGTAGCAGTGAGATATCAGGAAACTTGATATTTTGTTTTAGACGAGGAACCAAAATATTGATTCAAAAAGAAAAATCAATGTTTTTTTTGCTTCCCTTTGGGGATTTGAATACAGAGAACCAGCAGTGCTACCAACTGCAGTAAATCTGGACGATTTGGCTGAAAGACATCACAATGTAAACGCTTTATGTCCGTCGACGTAGATTATTGATATGTTTTTTATTTGAAATTATGCCAAACTGGTGGCCTGACATTTCCAGTTTTATCCACAGTTTTCTCTGTTTTTTTCTATGAGGAACAGTGGAGAAACCTGAAACTGCTGCTGTGCAAATTATTCAACAGGTTACTGCTAGGCAACCACCGAATGAGTGAGTTAGTTGAGCCTGCTGGTTAGCAGTCTATTCTGTCGGACAAAGGGAAATCCAGGAACCTGAAGTGTACAACAACCCAAAGCCAAACCCAGGATAGAGAGGTTCAGTGAATGTGGTGTTGAAGGTGTGGAGGTGGACCAGGGAGCCAGAGGAGACTCTGTAGAAGGACAGAGTACCAGCAGGACAGTCTACGTACACCGCTACTCTGTTAGAGACGGAGGACGACGACGCTGAAACTGTCGTTTCAGCTTTATTTTGAAGGACAGAAAATACTCCATTGTCAGAACACCTCAGACTCCAGGAATGATCATTCCAGGCAAACAGACAGTTGTGAGTGTTTCCTTTCCTTTCAATCTTTTTGTAGCTGACCGCTAGGAGAGCCTGTCCCCCCCACTCCACTTCCCAGTAGCCACGACCAGACAGGCCATCGCGACACAAAAACTGAGGTGGAACATCAAATCTGTCTGGGTGATCGGGGTACAGCTCGTCTTCCGCCACATGCGTCACTTTCCTTCCATCGCCAGAGATTCTCATCTTTCTGCTCACTGTGTTTGTGTCGATGGAGAGCTGACAGGAGTCTGATGGAGACAGCAAACAATCCAGATTCTGTTCAGGATTTTTCCTCATTTATTTTTTCCTGATTTCTAAATCTGAGCAGGTTTGTTATCATGAATTAGATTAAAAAAAAAAAAAAAAAAGGACTTACACTTCCTCAGACCCGGGGTCAACCACTGGACTCCAGCAGGCTCCACCCTGAAAGGACAAGAGATAACATGTTCAGCCATCAGTTGAATATTAAGACAAATAAATGGAAGCAGGGACTAAGACATCTAGTATTGTATTATAAAACTATGACTGTAAAAAAGAAAAACAAATTTGCTTTGTTGCACCCGAGTAAAAACGGAATAATTTCAGCTGAATGTAGCAGGTAAAAAAAGTTCAAACTAACAGGTAATTAAACACTTCAACACTCTGGGATACTCAATACCTTTTTACCATCTGAATCTCACATAAAGTAAGAACACAGGAAACAATACTGAAAACACAAACTACCAGATTTTCCTTCTTTATATTTTGCCTCTTCTCTACCTTCATCCAGCCTTTCTTTCAGGAAACCTTTGAAATGCTACTGGAGAAAAATATGATTCTGTACTTAAAAGTGTATCACTTGTTGCTGATGAAGTGGAACACTATTACTTTACAAAAAAGAACAAAACCAAACATCCGTTGAACAAGCAGAGAACTTTGAGTTGATGTGTAAACTACTAGACAAACAGTGACAGTAATCAGTGACTTGTCAGGATTGGGAATGCATAAGATTCCAAGCACTTTGATGTGGTTGTTGGTACCTACTTTGCTGCAAACTGTTTTAGACAAAAGGATAAAAAAAAAACACACTTTCTGTACCTGAGATTTTCAAGTGTGCAACCAGGATCCTCCAGGTGAGCAGAGAGGACCTCAACTCCTGTGTTTCCTGGATGATTGTAGCTCAGGTCCAGCTCTCTCAAGTGGGAGGGGTTAAAGGTCAGAGCTGCAGCCAGAACCAAACAGCCTTCCTCTGTGACCAGGCAGCCAGATAACCTTCAGTGTATACCATATGATAACCATGATTAAGTTGGATAAAGTTGTGTTTGTCTCTTTGGATTCTACCTGTTATGAGTAACCCTTATATAAATTGTCAGTTCACATAAAACCAGATATTGATTTGCACATAGCAGCAGGAATTCCTTCTAAATACTGAAAAAAATGATAATATGGCTCTCTGCCTTTTTCTGCTGCTTATTTCAATTTCATTACACATAACTTCATTTATGTTCTTTTTATATTTTGTACCCAATATGTGGATTACTGGGGTTGAGGCTGACACCTGGAGTCAATTTCCAGTCAATAGAAATATTAGAAATATGTTTACTGAGTAAACAACAAGCTTGTTTTGTCTTGTTTTTACATTCCATATATTTGTGTTTTGCTCTCTGTGTAGCTTATAGGAAACCTAAAGTGAGATTCTCCCTTCAGACTAGCAAGCAAAAAAATAAAAACATAAGTTGACCAAGATGCTGAATAAATCTACATCTGTAAAATGCAAACAGACATAAAATATTTATTTTATATGATTTTATAATACTGGATGTTTTGGGGACTGCAGATGCCAATTAGCATTTATAGCTTTAACCTGGTATAGTACATATCTTCTTCTGTGGTTAATATATGCTGTTCAAATTTAACAATCAATTAATTCATTAAATTTTAAATTTGAAAATGTACTAGTCCTTACCTCAAAATTTGGAGTTTGCAGGTAGGAGTCTTCAGTCCAGCAGCGACAAGTTTTACTCCCTCATCCTGCAGGTTGTTGTTACTCAGGTCCAACTCTCTCAGGCAGGACAACGTAGCGCGGAGGACTGTAGACAACGCTGCACAGCTTCTTACTGAGAGGTCACAGACACTCAGTCTGCAGTAACAAAAACAAGGCTGGTAAATGTTTTTTTTTTTTTATGTAAAAAATAAAGAAATGTGTTTTAAGGAAAGTTTGATTATTTACAAAGCTTTGCTTGAGATTTTGATGACTGGCAGCAGCCTTAGGAAAGCCTCTTGCGAGGCGGAGTACTTCTTCAAGTCGAACTCATCCAGATCTTGTCCTGATGATAGAAGGATGTAAGCCAGAGCTGACCACTGAGATGGAGACAGTTCATCTTTGGAGAGACTTCCTGAACTCAGAGACTGTTGGATCTCCTCCACTAGAGAACGATCATTCAATTCATTCAGACAGTGGAACAGATTGATGCTTTTCTCTGCAGAGACATTCTCACTGATCTTCTCCTTGATGTACTGAACTGTTTTACATCTGGTTTCTGTGCTGCTTTTTGTCTGAGTAAACAGGTCAAGCAGGAGACTCTGGTTGCTTTGCAGTGAAAGACCCAAAAAGAAGCGAAGGAACAAATCTAGGTGTCCATTTGTACTACCTAAGGCCTTGTCAACGGCATTCTCATGGAGTGATTTGGGTTCCTTTGTTTTTGTTGTAAATTTATCTGAGGTTGGTTGATCTATTTGCATCAGGTTGACTCCAGAGTTGATGAAGGTCAGATGGACATGAAGAGCAGCCAGAAACTCCTGAACACTCAGATGGACGAAGCAGAACATCTTGTCCTGGTACAGCCCTCTCTCCTCTCTAAAGATCTGTGTTAACACTCCTGAGTACACTGAGTCTGCTCTGATATCGATGCCACACTCTGTCAGGTCTGATTCATAGAAGGTCAGGTTTCCTTTCTGCAGCTGATCAAAAGCCAGTTTTCCCAGAGACTCGACCATCTTCCTGCTCTCTGGACTCCAGTGTGGATCTGTTTCAGCTCCTCCATCATACTTAACCTTCTTCAGTTTGGTCTGAACCACCAGAAAGTGGATGTACATCTCAGTCAGGGTGCTGGGCAGCTCTCCTCCCTCTCTGGTCTCCATCACATCCTCCAGAACTTTAGCAGTGATCCAGCAGAAGACGGGGATGTGACACATGATGTGGAGGCTTCGTGATGTCTTCATGTGGGAGATGATCATCTTGATTTGAATCTTGTCTCTGAATCTCTTCCTGAAGTACTCCTCCTTCTGGGGGTCATTGAACCCTCTGACCTCTGTCACCATGCCAACACACTGAGGAGGGATCTGATTGGCTGCTGCAGGTCGTGTGGTTATCCAGAGGAGAGCAGAGGGAAGCAGTTTCCCCCTGATGAGGTTTGTCAGCAGAACATCCACTGAGCTGGACTCTGTAGCATCAGTCAGGATCTCCTTGTTGTGGAAGTCCAGAGGAAGTCGACTCTCATCCAGGCCATCAAAGATGAACAGAACCTGGAAGTGTTCAAAGCTGCAGATTCCTTTGGTTTCAGTAAAGAAGTGATGAACAAGTTCCACCAAGCTGAACTTTTTCTCTCTCAGCACATTCAGCTCTCTGAAGGTGAATGGAAATATGAAGTGGATGTTCTGGTGGGCTTTGTCTTCAGCCCAGTCCAGAGTGAACTTCTGTGTTAAGACTGTTTTCCCAATGCCAGCCACTCCCTTTGTCATCACTGTTCTGATTGGTTGATCTCTTCCAGGTGGGACTTTAAAGATGTCTTCTTGTCTGATTGTTGTTTCTGGTCTGTGTGGTTTCCTGGATGCTGCTTCAATCTGTCTGACCTCATGTTCATCATTGACCTCTCCAGTCCCTCCCTCTGTGATGTAGAGCTCTGTGTAGATCTGGTTCAGAAGGGTTGGACTTCCGGCTTTAGGAATCCCCTCAAACACAGACTGGAACTTCTTCTTCAGACTAGACTTAAGTTTAGAACCAGCTCCTGCAGGTGTTCCTAAAGCAAACAACACACAGCACATCTCATAATTTCAACTGTCCTAAAGATTTCTAATTTAAAAATTTCTGTAATTGGGACATCAGAGTTCACAAAGTTTACTGGTCAGGTAAAATTTGCAAAGCAATCCTCTTACTGCTCTGTAGACGGTCAGCCAGCTCCTCCTGCTTCATCCTTCTCAGGAAGTTCAGTGTGATCTTCTCAAATGCCTCTTTGCTGTTTCTCATCTCCTTTTCAAATGCCTCTTCCATTACATCCTCATTTTCTGTCTCCAATGATGGTGGTTTATGTTGACTCAGGACTTTGTGCATCTTCCTCAGCTCATGTTTCACAAAAGTGACAATGTTGTTCTCCAGCAGCTGGAACAGAATATTAGTGAAGGACCTATCAGACTGGAGTCATGGAGTCAAACATCATGTCCATGTTGGACAGACCGACAGTCCTCTGATCTACAAAGTGATGCATGTAGAAGACTGTGGAAAAGCCAATGGAAAAGTAGTAGTTGTACATCTACAGACCATAAATATGGAGTCCAACTCTGTCCGATGCTTCTGGGAAGACGGATCACTGGGAAACGCTGATGGAAACGACACGAAAACCCCTGAAGAAGACACTGAGCAAGACTTCCTCCTTCACCAAATGGAAACAAAATGAAGTAGCATCAGATTTTAGCAGTTGTAGGAGTTCACTTATGTTTGTTTTGGTTGTATTTCCCCAGAATGCCCTGCACTGTAGTCCACTTCATATGCATTCAAACCACACCAGAGTTCACTTCAAACAAACCCAGGCAGAGGTCTAGGAGGACTAGAGTTTGCTTTTTGTGGTCCGCATTAGACAGAAAATGAACCGGACTTTCTAGAGAAACAAACTACAGTTCCATTAAAGCAGACTGAGCAGGGCTGGTGTGATCACACCCATACACACCATGTGCCATCCACTGTACAATAATTTGGTGGAGGAGAGGCATAAGTTCCAGATTTATCAACAGTCTCTGCTAACTCTTTCAAACCCCCTGGTAAAAACTCCTCGACAGAACCGGCAAGACTTTGTTCCACATTAGTTTATCAGGAGTTTATCCTGAAGAACTCTGAAGTACCTCCCACTAATATGATATGACTTTCTGTGTTTATGACCCGCACAGCTCCCACTGGTTGCTATGTTGACAGGAATCCCTGCCCACATCTATCCTCATTTTGAACCTTTAATGTGAACAGTTGCATTCAAATCCTCCTGACCAACAAGCTTCTACAGAGTCCCATCTGAGTTGATGCTCCTACCTACCCGACTGCCAAACACATAAAATAAAATACATCCTTAAGCATAGTTAAAAGGTAACAAAGTATTTTCGATACAATACTTAATACACACACCATCATGGCTCCATTGAAACTGCAAGTGCTTGAAGGCAAACTAGTGATAATTGTCTACAACAGGTTTACAAGGCATTTAGATGTACGGTATGTTACCTCTTTGTAGCTGATGGGGGATCAGATCTGAAAGTGATTCCAAGGTCCTTAGAAGCATCACTTTGAAGGGACACACAGCTGGGTTCAGCCTCAGGTCCAGATTCTGCTTCTAGTAGTTTCCTGTACATGAAGACGGTTGAGTGATCTGACTGATTTAAAATGGAGAAAAGTCCTGGACAGGTAGAGATGGTGATCTCACCTCTGGTTTTCATGTTCTCCACTCAGATTGGTTTTAGAGGGAGCAATTCTGTTCTCACACTGATCCATGCTGCTCAGTTTACACTAGTTCACATACCTTCTGCCTTCATCTGAGGAAAAACAAAGGAGAAAACATGAGGCTGCAGACATATAGTGATGAAGCAACATTTCCATGAAGTGGTTAAAGCATCAGACTCATGACTTGGTGGCCATTGTGTGAGAGGAGGGGTCCACCATGGACGGATGGTATATTGAAACTATATGGACTATTTGAGTTATTTTCAAATGGTAATTTGCCATTTGACAGTTTTGATTAGTCTGAATGGTTAATTAAGGGCAGTTTTCATCTAACCCATCTGCACTGGAAGATTTTATAAAACAAATAATAGATCCATTTTCAATTGGTTTCCTGCACCAAAGGGTTAAGAATGTGTAAACGCATTTTTACTCAAGATCTTTAAAGGTGTCAATTATAAACTGACAATTTTATTACTGTGACTGTAAACAAAATAGGGTAACACCAGGGTGCATGAGAATTTATTGCAAGGGAATTAAACACTTTTGCAAAGTAACACAAAAGAAAAAAAAATCTCCCATGTCTCCTAGGTGGCTTGATAGTTTTCAACATAATGATAGGCTTTTTTCTAAAAAGTCATTTTAGAAAAAAAAGAGTGTAAAAAAAAAAGTAAATAATACAGCCAAGGAGGAGTAGATTTTCACCAGAAATTTTTTGTAAATTAAATTCACGTACAAGAAAAATAGTCCTTAGTACTATGATGTCAAAATTTTCACAAATATGCCAGAAAAGTCAGACTCCCGTCTCACAGGAAATGTGTTGAAATCCCAGATATGAAATTAAAGAAGTACGAGTACTTCCACCCGTCCTGCAACCCGTCAGCAGATCTTCCGACTACAAAACTTATTGTTGCTCGTCCGTCAATCTGCATCTCTCTCTGACTATAGTAAGACTGTTACTATAGTAACAGTCTGTCAGCTCCATTACCACAGCAACCAGAGTAACAGCCTAAAGAAATCCCAGAACGCAATGTGTTGGGACATGTGTGCCTGTTTTCCATCAACGATGGTGGATATGCGTTTATGAATCCACATATTTCTGTTTAATACCTTGGTAGACATTACTTGTTAATTCCCGCTGAGATACAAGGATCTTTTACGGAAATACACCTTCAAGCTGATTCACTCGAGTGTGAGGAGCATATGTTGCCTGACTAAGCTAACAGATAAAATAGCTTAAATGACACAGAAACCTCGTCCTTTCTGTGTCGTAGCTAAACTTATATGACTGAAAGCTGGTTAGGACAGTAGAAAAACATCACAAACTGTGTACATTACCCTTCAGAACAAGGCTCAGCTGATGAAATCGTTCTGCTTTGACAGAAGATGGAAAGTGAAAGTAAACCTCAAAGGGGGGAAACAGCCACGTAAGACCATATTCAGGCAGGTTTCTATTTTTTCTCATCTCGTCTGGCAGGTTTGGTTGCCGACTCTGTCTAGTTAGATTTCACCACAAGTGGGAATAATCCCTTGTTGCACGACTGGTACTCCATATGTGTTGTCAAGGCAACAAAAAGTACAGTTTGAGGCGATAAGATGAAGGAGACAAAGGGGAAACTGAAAGGCGGAAGTAGCCTCCTATTATATAATGGTTAAAAGTTTCATTTTCTGCTAATTGGTAATTTATGTGATTTTTAGTTGTATTTTAAAACGGGACAGTATGTAAAATCAACTTTTTTCAATTTTACACCATGTTATTCCCTCATCAAAAGCATACTTGGAAGTTTTACCTTCATTCTTTGATACATGTTTGAGTAATCCTTTAATCTCCATGGCAACCTTTTAGCTGTACAAAACACCTTGGTGGACCTACGTCCGCCTTCGGACCCAGCTCCTCCTCCAGGAATAGTTATCCAGACAGATAAACACAAGATAAAAATAAAAATTTAAAGTAAAAATGAAAAGCTTCCGAGTTTCTGCCTCACCAAGGAGCCTCCCCCACACCGACTCCACTCAGCTCCTTCAGACTAGCCATACGAAATTAGCAAACACCTGGTGAAACTGAACATCTGCTGAGCTCATTATAGGAGATACTTCGCAGTGGAACACTGGTAAAAATTTTGTTAAAGGGTTAATAGAGTAGCCATGTTGTGAGAACTTCCTGAAGGCAGAGTTTCAGAAAGTACAGGAGCTTCTTAAAGAGATAGAGGCCCAATTTCAAGGTGTTAAATTACAAAGTCAAATTTCTTTTAAGTCATATTTGATATTTGCATTTTTTTTATAACAACTGGAGTTAACATAGTTACTTGATTGTGATATAAAATGGAAAACACACAATACTGCCCCTTTAACAAATATTACATTTAAATTGGATGGAGTTTGTTTTAAAAATAGTCAACTCTCATCCATTACTGATGTTGTGTGGTTAGCATAGCAAAAGTCATGCTAACCACACCTTTTGTTACTCATTTACAGCTGTGGTCAAACATTTCTTCCCTTTCATTATTTAAATATAATATTTTCAGTTTTATCAAAGTTCAATTGCATAAATCAGCTTTACACGGCATTTCTCAATATTTTTCCACTCATCAGGTTCTTCCACTTTGGAAAAGAATTCCCA